ACTATTAAGGTTAAAACTAATCAGCAAAAGGAGGTGGTGGAGGAGGGAAAGAACCTTATTACTATGGAGGGAATGAGCACTATTAGGCGTGCATATCAGGAGGAGGTGGAGGATATTATCCTTATTATTAGTGAGGAGGGTACTAAGCCTACATTTCAGGAGGAGGAGGATATTAACCTAAATGAGGAGGTTACTAAGAATGAGTATTGTGATGCTAATTAGAATGGTGTGCTTAGAAAAACGCATCAGTTTTTACTTAAACTTTGTTAAAGAAGTTTCCCATTTTACCAAATATTTTATTTTTTTGTACTTTAAAGTTTTTAAATTAATTAATTTTTATTTAAGATTTTTTATTGTTTTGATTAATATTTTTATTAAATTTTAAAAAAAAGTTTAATTGATATTTAAACTGAATGCATGATAGTTATTTAGTTAGTTATTCTTATCTACTCTATAAATTTTAATTTGACTATCAATATAAATGTAAAAATAAATAAGTATCTATTTTTTAATTAATTTTGTTTTTTTTATGATAAGGAAATTATTGATCTTTCCTATTAATATTCAATATTCCTATCACCTGATCAAAAAAAATTAGTTATATACGCTGATCATAGCTTAATTATTTTATTAAAATAAATAAGCAAAAGCATTACGCATATCAAACAAAACAAAAAAACTAAATTTAAGGAAATGGCTTAAAAATTATTTTAAAATATTTAATTATTATGTAAATAAATGCTTTTTATTTGACTATTTATCTTATTTTTGTTAATGTGAATTCAATTGATTTTTGATACTTGTTATGAATATATACTTAATTCTAATGACTAAAATTATTATATAAATTTAATTTTTTTACCATTTTTGACTTAAATATTTTAAAATAATTAATTTTGTTTTAACATAATATTTTCTTTAAAATCAGATTTTATTTTTAACAAAAAATTTTTAATAGATGTATTAATTAATTAATTTATTTCCAGGTATACGATAAGAAATAAATTAATTGAGCTATTCATACTTAATACCCTGGTCATAAAATTAATAATTATTTATTTATTAGCTAATTAATACAAAATATTTGCAAGATTGAATTAATAAATGGCTTTTTAAACATTTTACTATTCAATTCAAACTAAAAATAATATGAAATAAAATAAATAATATTTCTATCTCTAAAAAAAAGAAAGAACTAAAATTATTTTGTAAAGTATAAAATTTTTTAAAAGTATTTATCATTTATATACTAAAATCCAGCACATTTTTTACAAAGCACAGCCATTTAATACTTAAAGAATTTTAAATGAAATAATAAAAACATTTAATTGATTAAAACATATTCTGGAATTGATCGTTCTTTTAATCAAAATAATAAAAATTTTAGCTAGGCTTTTTTTTGATTGATTAAAAATAAAAATTAGGAGATCAAATAAATTTTTTTCAACTACTTTTTTTGACTAAAAATATTTTTAATGCGTATATAGAACAGACCCTAAAAAGGGATAACTTATCTGTTTAAGTTTACTTTTTAAAATTTACCTGCTCCGAGAGTGAGAGGGTCAATCGTCATTTAGTAAAACCATAAAGAAAAAAAATTTTTGGCAATGTTAAATCGCGGATAATGATTAAATAGAACAATCTTCAAGAAAAAAAGACTATAAAAACTAACAAATGAAACTTAAGAAAAAATAATTGCTCTATCTAAATTCCTCTTTGAACTATTCTTGCTAACAATATTGTTTTTATTGACTATTTAGTGAAGATTCTCTAGCTTTTCTTTACGTTCTTTTAAATAATTTATTATTTATTCAGCACTCATTTGCAA